GTATGGACGATGAATTATCTACACAATTCTGCTAACGACTCGGCGTTGGACACTGTGGGTTTTGACGAGACTTCTACCAGCCAGAACGGACAACATTAGAAAGCTCTTAGAGAGTGCGAAGGGGTTTGAACGTACAGATTTTGCTGATGAAAGGTGAATCTGACGATCAGATTTAGCTGGAGATAACGGAGCGTGACGTGACTCGATCAGCCTCATTGCGATTCTAATATATTCACACTATGTTCAATGATCGAAACTGCTGAACATATTTTGAATATCATCAAGATCTATCCCGCGAATATATCGAGATGAAATTTAAAATATATCCGGTGAATAAATTCTAAATTTAGATTCCAGTATATTCTGCATTTATTCAGCGACTAAATTTCAAATATGATCAGCACATATTCTTCGCTTAAAATGGATTGAATAGATTCTAAATATAAGCACGGAATAAAATTGAATAAAATTGAAGAATAAAATTTATATATATCCAAAATATAAACAGTGAATTTGAGTTTGAAGATATTTGAAATTTATTTTCTGTATATTCAAATTTTATTCACTGAATATATAAGCCCATGCCCGCAGTGTCTACTGGTGATATTTAAATTGCTGCAGGTCATTTTCAACAAGGTTCTTGAGGGCTACTATGGTACTCATTTCGATCGACCATCTACCTGAGGGCCAGGGCCAGGGAACGGAATTGTATCTTCTCGTCGTTCCCATGAGAATTACATATGGAATTCGTTTGTCGCCGTGGAGGTCGCTAAAAAGTACGCGTCCAGATGCGCAACCAACTAGAAGCAGGGGTTGCTACACTGGCCTTGCAGCTCCTGGACGGTCGAAGTAGCACATTTGTCCTGATCGCATGATCTACCTGGCCATGCGTTGCCTACCGCCATGAATCTCGTCGGGGTGTTCGCTCTGTCATCCGCTCTCCCATAAACGGTCAAGCCTCCAGAAGATCAATCGCCATGCAGAGACTTCAACCCAGAGGACCAGACCACCTGACGGAGCAAAAACTCTTTTTTGTTCATTCGCACCCTCGTGGAGGTCATTCCGACAATCACTCACAAGGATTCTTTCCTCGAGGCGCCCCAAAGCTTCGACGCGTCTTACAGTCATCAGCTCTGCTATTATCAATGTATCGGATTCTTTTTTCGTTCACAGCTGCGTTTCTGGGTATAAGACATAGAGTCAAACGGAAAAACAAGTTCCGGTAGGCGTCAGCATGTTCTCCAAAGTGTTTTCTACCTTTGCGCTTGCCGCTTCATTCCATGTCGCTGTTGCGATCCCCATTGCGGCCCCTGCGACTCCTTGCGCCGCCGTGCACATCATCGCTGCCCGCGGGTCCAACGAAGCCCCTGGTGCAGGCCATATTGGCGCAGTAGTAACTCAGGTCCAGAGCACTAGCCAGCAGACCATTTCCACCGCTGCGGTCGACTACCCCGCTGCCCTCCTTGGGTATGCTAGCAGCTCCGCTCGTGGGACGTCTGCCACCATCACTCTCGTCCAGAAGCAGGTTGCTGCCTGCCCCAATCAGAAGATCGTCCTTGTCGGATACTCCCAGGTAACTCTCAATTAATTGTCTGACTTTTTGTAAAGTGGTTAAATTTTCTGTCCGCTCTCACAGGGAGCGCATATCATTGGGGATGCCGTCGCTGGAGGAGGAGGAGTCTCTGGCCTCGGCGCTGCAACGCCCCCAGTAGCCGCTGCTATCTCTGACAAAGGTTCGTGTCTCTTCTGTAATTTCCCTGGCATCTTTCTGACCTCGCCGACAGTCGTGGCGATTGTCCAAATGGGCGACCCCCGCCACGTCCCTAATCAGCCTTTCGATAAAGGCACCTCCAAACGCGCGGGCCTCTTTCCACGTCAATCGAACCAGCAGTATAGTGCCACGCTCCAGCCCCGCATTCAGTCCTGGTGCGATACTGGCGACCCCTTTTGCGATTCTGGTGCCGTAGTGAGCGTTCACACGTCCTACCTCACCAGGTATCAGACTGCTGCCGTCGATTTCATCGTTCAGCAAATCGGTGGATGAACCTATCTCTCAATGCTCGGCGACAGCGGGGGATTTAATGTCTTTTTTTCTGTAAATCATGATCACACAAAGTATGTACCATTTGTATGTGTAAAATCTAACATCATTCTTGTAAATCTCCATCGTTCTGTTTTTTTGTTTTCCCTCGGAGTTGGGAGGGAGGTAAGTACGTACGTACATATCGTGCTCTGAGCTTTGACATTCCTATATCCGTGACTTCAGCTGCGGTGCCTCATGCACCGAACGCGTGTGTGATAACGCTGACATGCTATTGCCACAGGGTGGCGTTTTGAAGTCACGAATGAGCGCACAACTCTATAAAGTGGAGCTTGAATGGAAAGAATGCCGTGAGAGGTGAGCGTGCGTGCGTATTTTTGACAGTGACGGTGTTTATGCGCGTTTCCGCCGCCAATATCGAGCGGAAAACGCACAAGAGACGGTCATGGCTGCTCCCCCCGCTCCCAGTCGCACCAGGCCATCGGCCCTCATCATGCCGTCTGACGACGACGACAGAACTCACAATCGGCGTCTGTCAACCTCGAGCTCTGGAAGCTTTGCGTCAGCCCCAAACAGTCCAACCGCAGCACTCTCAGCCCTTGATTCCTCCGCCCCACTTATTCTCGTCCACGAACCGGACGAGGACGATACTCCATTTGATTTCTCCGACGACGAAGACCAGGGGGATGAGCTTGTTAGTCCAATCTTCGAAATACGAAAGGCGTCAATTCCACCGCTCCCGCCATCAATTGTCTTCCTCTACCTCCTCACTCCCTATCTCAAACTCGGAGCCTTGAGTATTATCAACGCTCAGTTGCCTCTTAAGTATGGCCTTTCCTCTTTGTTGGTTTTTGCGGCATTATCTGCGCTTGCGAGACAACTATGGTACATGCTGGCTCGCTATCTACGAAAAGCGGACCTGACGGACATCGTACTTGATGCATTCGCCAAAGGCAGAGGGAAGGATCGACGGAGGGAGATATTGCGATATGTTGTCCGGGCGGGCACTGGACTGCTAAGCGTTCTGACGGCTTCAATGTACTTGCGTCGTGAGTTCTGCCGTCTTAAGCGCTAAACGAGCCTCATGGAATTCTTCAGAATCTATCGACATCTTACTCCCTTTCATATCAACGAAATTGGGTCCTCATATAACTCGACTTATCCTCACTATCCCGTTCGCCTTGGTTGTCTCTTACCTTTCGTCCGCCGAGACGCTAGCGTCGAAGAAGGTTGTGTACGCAAACTGGCTCTCTATAGGGACGTATCTATCGTGGTTATGTTGCATTTCTATTGCACGCAGTCAAGGGTTGCTGGGGACTGGTGCGTCCTGGATTGCAGGCGGGAAGTTCTGGCAAGTTACCTGTGAGTCGTGCTTTTCTTCCTTTTAAGTGTTTCTCAAGGCTAAGGGATGGTAGCTACAATTTCCTTTGCCTTCTGCGCGTCCTCTACCCTTCCCCTCTATGCTTCATTGAAAAGCGTTCCATATCAAATTACCACAGCAAAGACACCAAGGTCCCGGTCATTTCGAGTGCTCTCCCTCTTCGCCGTGGTCACGGCTGTGCTGTTGCTCCTTCCGCCCGTACTATTTGCTGCCTTCCCTAGCACACCTGCAACGGTAAGTCCCTTGTCTTCCTCTTCATTTTTTCACATGTTCATTACGTTAAGATGTCCCCATTACTCCCACAGGTAATTCCAACCCCGCATACTCTACAAATTATCAGTGCCTCTCTAAGCTCCGCTACTCTCATTCTTGGGATCCCTGCCCTGATTGTAACTACTCCCGCGCTTCCTCTACCAGAGAGAATAGCACGTACAGCTATTTTCAACATCTCACGCACCCTTATCCTCACCATCGTCGTCCTTCTCGCCCTCTCTCCGCCCGACGCATCAACTCTCCTCAATATAGTTCTTGTCGTTATGACTCTCACGAGCACGTACTTCCTCCCCGCCTTCTTTCACATCTCGATCCACATATTTAAACGCCCACTCGCCATCGTCGTACCACGTACACCACTCTTACAGACCCCATCCCATTCACAAACCTCGTTGCCCCCTATGCCTAATGCAAGTCCTCGCGCAGTCCATGACGACCTTCTCCTGCGCAAGGAAAGGGCATTGCAGAAACGCCAATTCCGGAAACGGATTGTATGGGACGTGGGCGCATGGGTTCTTCTAGGGGCTAGTGTTACTTGGGTCGCTGGGGCTGTCTGTGATGTACTGGGGATGTGGTAGGATTAGGGATTCGCTTATCGCTGGGAGATATATGTCTGACGCGCGCTTGGACGTGCACTACCACGGGATGGAATCATAGGAGGATACTTATAATTGTTCGAGGCCTTGGACACTCGCTAGGATGGACATATTTCGAGCGTGTATATTACTTTAAAAGTGTAGTAAAATATGATCAGGACATCCTGCCTGTAGCTACACCTTTAGATAATCACTAGGACAATGCTCTGAAAAAACAGGGTTCGTCCCAGTTCCTTGACGAAGACCTGAACACTGGGGGCTTGCATCAAAGCTCTGCAAAAAATTAGGGCTTTAGCAATGCCGAATTTACAACGAATTTGACAAGATTTGACGCTTGTCATGTCAGCTCGACAGATGGGCTAAACAGATACAGTACTTACCTTACATTATTTCCCTGAACTAACTTGCGTACGTCGTGAAGACCTTCGTTCAAGTGCGTCAATCCCATCACTAGACGCTCAGAGATGTGCCTCCTTCCTTCCATGGAAAGAGTGGGATGTTTTTTATTCAAACAGGGTGGTTTATAACATACGTATTACTTTTCTTGATTGAGTGTACTTCCAGCGAATGATAGTAGAAAGAACTGGCAATTTACCAACAGAATTTCCTTTCCTTCGGTTGAAATTTACACACATCCCTTCAGAAATATGTGAGATGCAACTTTCTCCCGCAGGCAAAAGACGTACTATAACTCCCTTGAAGGCCTCAAGGCATTGGAAGACAGAACGCCGATTGGCCAGCGGATGCATTCCTTCCGTTCTGTACAGTTCCTGGTTAGGGACAGGTGGAATAAACCTCAGGACCACTGTTTCTTCCTGTGGATAGGTTGCCGCGGCAAGGGCATCAACAAGTGCTGTCGTAACATGAACGCGATACAGGATGAACGCAGTGCGTCTTATGACGATAGCACAGATTTCCTTGGCCGGCAGGCGTTGCAAACCTGATTTCACGCGTTTATTATTATTGCAGTCGAAGGCGGCGATTGCCTTTGCAATGACTTGTGCTTCGGGATCTTGGTTTGAGTGCTGACCACAGTACATTTATTAGCCTCAGAAAGGTACCAGTTCAACAACTCACCTTATCCTGGTGAACGATCAAGATAACCTCATGGGGTTCACCAAGACTCATCAGGAACAGGTTGGTGTTTGCAATGATGCGCCGACCAGCCATGAGCAAAGGATCCTTTGCCCAGAGACCGAACAGGTCATCAGCAAATCCGCATAAACCTTACATTACCATGTAAAGTGCTACAATGCAACCAATTAGCACTAATGTATCACAATTTTAAGCCGACCTTACGTTGTCATCCACTGGTGTCAACAACTGTGGAATGCGGAGCAAAAGTATGTAAGGTTGGGCTAACATTGGAAGGATATGGCCAACCTTCCGCCATCTTCTTTGCCTTGGAAGGTCATGCAATCATTGGTCCCCTTGGGAAGCTCTCTTAGATATTGTGGCAGGGTACTGGTGTTTGTAGTTGCTACAGAAGAAAAGAAAAGAAAATAAAATAAAAAGAGGGAAAAAGCGAAAAAAAGAGGAATATTTCTTATCTTATCTTATCTTACAATCATGAGCTATAAACTACTGACCCATCTTTCCATCTCCACCTACAACTGGCCTACCAACCTTATTCTGACAGGGCCTTTGGATACCTGCTATCCCCCCCATCACAGTCTACTCTGTTGGGGATTTTCCAGTAAATTTTATCTGCCCTACTGCCCTCAAATTCTGGCCTAGAGCATCATTTCCTGCTCTGATTCTCTTTCAAGGTAATTAGGGAGCTGAAATTTCTAGGACATCTTGTGCAGGCCTTTTATTAGCTAATTAAACTGTATTTTGTAATGGGCTAGCAGTGATATTGTGTGGGCTGAATTAATCCTCTCCTGTGATGGTTCAGGAAAATGACTATCCACATCCAAATGATAAAGCCCTGGATTACTTTAAAAAATTTGGGTGGGAGCAATTGATCCTTTGCTTGATGGGCTGTATGTGAAGCACCTCCATTTTGATGTTCACAGCCCATACTACAGAATATATTTGTAGAAGATATCATTTTCATTTCCCTTTGCATGATTACAATTCTGTACAATTACAGCTTTTTTTTGCAGTCAGGATCTCCTGATTAATGCTAGATACTCACACATAAGCTTTAAAAACAACTGTTTCTCTGCAACAGTAGGATGGACATAACAGCAAGGGGGTGGCGGAACATGGATTTTGGATATACAGTCACATTACGAATTAAGGCGCCCTCAGCCTACCCCCCCCCCACCTCCTACCCCCCAAAAAAGGAAACTTCCGAGTTCCTATGTCAAAAACATACCCAAATAAGTAGTATGTTACATTTTTGGATCTGTTACTACGTGCGACGACACTTCATCCCCATATCCATACAGGTCGGACACATTTCGTGGCTCTCGAATCCGTTTGTCGAGCTGGACACCACCTGTACTGCTGAATGGAGGAGCGGTGGCGCGCTTGTCGTTGGTGGAGTTTGAGGGATTTTTGGTCCAAAAAAGGAGTGAATGGATCATGATGGTATGTTTTGCTGCCGTCTTGACTAGATGGCGGCTTCGCATGCTCTCGATCCGATATGCTGCTGCAGACTTGCTTGACCGCCTGTTCCAACATTTCTCACATTCTGGGCAACAAAGCTTGCTGTCGCTCGTAAACCCCTACGCTTGTCTGTAATAGAGTATCGGATTAGAGTATATATGTAAAATAGGGACTTACTTCTTCTTTGCTATACTTTCAGTGAACCTGAGCAGCGTTATAAAAAGTTTGTTGACTTTTTTTGGCTCTCAGTCAAAATTTCAGACAGTAAATATGTAAATTAGGGGTTTTCCGTGCATCTGAACTTCCCAACTTCTTTGGGAGCGCGATTTGGCTTATTGGCAAGACTTTTTCAAAGTAGGTCACAAAAAATATTTCGACCCCCTAGCGGAGCCCCCCCCCCTAACCCTATATCTGGGATCCACGTTCCGCCACCCCCTTGCATAACAGCATATTTTGTACCTTGACACAATCCCAAGTATCAGTTCCATTTTTTTTACCCAAGGCTCAGGCATCAATAGTTGTTGCATAGCTGACTTGAATCTAATTTCTTCGGGAATGGGAAGAATCCCAGAAACCTCTTTTGTTTAGGCATACATTGAATGATTTACCTATCCTCTGATTTCAAATGACTGTGGCACTTCATCTCACATTTTTTCAGCTAATATTCAAAGCTGATCAATTATCCAAATGTCAAATTGACCATCACATTCTTTCCCTGTTGAATTTCTTGTCCCAACAGTTATATTGTGATGTAGTTGAAAATTGAACAGTAAAATACATAGAAATTTTGTAATAGCTTATATTTGCGCAATAATCTCAATGTATCTTCTGTTTTACATGATGTAAAAATGTGGTGGAAGGCCGCAGAGAGGGCAAAAGTATACGAGCAAGAGAGATTACACAGCCACTTGCTATCACATAAGCGTGCTATAACATAAGCATAGCTCTCACATAAGCGTAGCTATCACATAAGCGTAGCTATTATGTAATAGCAACTACAAACACCAGTAGTCTGCCGATATTGTTGGCAACCCATAATTCCAGTTAGGGCAGTCAAATGGGTCCATCACTGATGGGCCAGCGGCGTGTGACAGGCGCCCATCAACAGTGGGCCAGCGGACTCGGCCGAGCTGTCAAAAATTCGGCCTTGGCAATGACTGGGCCGAGACTCTAAAATAGGCCATGCGAGATGGGTGGGCCGCGAGTACAGAACCCCATAGAGGACGGATCGGCCGACTTTGCCCCTGGCGCCCATGGGTTGCGCCCAATTGCGCGGATCCCATTGTTGCGCCCATTCGTCTTTGATGCAGTTAACCAGAGTGCTGCCTCGTTAGTTTCACTGTGGGGGACCACGTAGGAGAAAGTTAAATAGATATATTATTTACCTGTTGTGGGTTGCGCCCAATTGCGCGGATCCCATTGTTGCGCCCATTGGTCTTTGATGCAGTTAACCAGAGTGCTGCCTCGTTAGTATCACTGTGGGGGACCATGTAGGAGAAAGTTAAATATTTACCTGTTGTACATCTGGCGCCCATGGGTTGCGCCCAATTGCGTGGATCCCATTGTTGCGCCCATTTGTCTTTGATGCAGTTAACCAGAGTGCTGCCTCGTTAGTATCACTGTGGGGGACCATGTAGGAGAAAGTTAAATATTTACCTGTTGTACATCTGGCGCCCATGGGTTGCGCCCAATTGCGTGGATCCCATTGTTGCGCCCATTTGTCTTTGATGCAGTTAACCAGAGTGCTGCCTCGTTAGTATCACTGTGGGGGACCATGTAGGAGAAAGTTAAATATTTACCTGTTGTACATCTGGCGCCCATGGGTTGTGCCCAATTGCGTGGATCCTCATTGTTGCGCCATTTGTCTTTGATGCAACCACATTTTTCTTCGCCAACCAGCCAATATTCCCCACCCATTTTCCCCGGTCTTGCTGCGATGCTGCAAGACTTGAGTAGTTTCAAGCTCACTCAAGAAATAGCTGACTTTCTCAAAGCTAAATTCCATGCTACCCTCCATGGAACAGCACAAAAAACACCCTTTCCCCTGCACTGGACACTGGACCTGTTGGATGACTGCAATGGGATAGTTGTTGTTTTGGTTGAGGCTTTCAAACACCCAAGTGCGCCACGCCTGCTCACATAGT